CAGGGGTGAATAGGTTTGTGCATTATTCATGTGGCCAGAACATTGACCCAGGAAGAAGAGATGGATGTGAAGACCTACTGTGTCCCAGGGGAGTCAAACCCACCTCTCAAACAACAATGCCCATGGTGCTGTGATTGCAAGTGATAGAGGCAGGCTGCTCCACTGTAATTCATGTAGAGTAACAGCTAGGAGGTGAGATATGAGTGTGCTGGCCTGAGAGATGCCCAGATCTGTGTCTTCGTGTTGGCTGCTTTTTTGTGGTTTTGTTTACACTAACCTGTTTGGAGCATTTGACCTGAATTTTCAAATAATTTCAGCCTGATCCAAGCTATGGTTCCAGGAAATAAACTGGTCACTGCAAGAAATACTCAACTGTAGTGCTGAGACAGCAGAGAACATGACTTGTGCTGAGCCTCCTAAACAGGCACTGTCAAAGTTTGTGTACAGCACTGAATATATTGGGAAAATGACTAGAAATGTTTTGTGAAAAGCTGCTTCTCAAATAAGGCCTTGATACCCTTTTTATGGATGTAAAAAGAACTGGCTTCCTTTGTTTAGAAAACTGCAGGATGTCTTGCTGTGGCAAAAGGCAGCATCAGGCCTCTTGGAAAAATGTTTCTGCCAGGCGTCAGAGAAATGCCATGTGTTGGTGATGGGTTTTACAGGAGTTGTTGTTCCAGACATTGAATGATGGGCTTTGGAAACACAGGCAGCCCTGTATCTACGGAGGGATCTGGGACAAATATGGTCTGGTAGCTTCTGGACAGAGATGTTGTGAAGATAGGGAGAGAAGTGCTGTGTGTGTTAGATAAAACAGAAGTGCTGGCCTGAACAGTGATCTGCTGGCTCTGCTGGAGGGCCAGCCTTGCAGGTCTTGTGCTTGGAAGTGATGCTGTAGTCACTGAGGAGATGCCTGCATAAAGGATGAGAAGTCTCTAGAAGAGAAGTATGTTAACACTCAGTCTTGTTTATGGGCAAAAAGGAGGCATACCTTACAGAGAGCGAGCCAGGAGTTTGTTCTTAGTGTAATTGAACCCTTAACACTCTGATCTTATTAGTTGAACCTTAATTATTACAGCTAAAGAAAGAAGGAAGTCCTGTTGATTACGACTGATGTCTTGTTTGTCCAGCATCAGATCCTCATTTCTTTTACTGGTTGTTTGCAGCATGGGGCTGCCAGTGCCAGCCTGTGCTCCATCTCCTGTCCCACACTTGTTCTACTTCATGCTGCCTCCTGCGCTTCCACTTCTCGAGGCCTCCTTATCATACCAAGTCTGTATTTCTTTATACTGCCACATTATGTTCAGGTTGTAAACCTATGATGATAGCATAAAAAGATAAAGAAGCATTAAAAAAAGAAAAAAGTTAGCCAGTTAGAAGTTAGTCAGTTAGAAGAACTGCTGTTACAGCTAAATCAGGCAAAACAAGGCTGCAGATCAGTCAAGAAGAGCTCGAACAGAGTGAACATAACAAGTTGTGTTCCCAAGATCTGCAGCCTGTGGTATGCCGCTTCCCTGTTTCTTAGCTCCACCCTGATATTCTACTCACTGGAGAGGCATTCTGCTGCCAGGTTTGCTCTCTTATTTGCTCTCAGCTCTTAGGATCTGCTTTTGTAGAGGATCTGCAGACTGTTGTGCTTTGAGCACAGTTTCTCAGTTGCCTCTGTCCAGAGGGGCTGGGTGCTTCCTCGCGTTGTGGCACATCTCCTCCAGTGCCTCTGCTGAGATCCTCCCGTTGTCTCCCTGGCTTGTGTGTGGGGAGCCGGGTGCCCTGGGACCCTCTGCCTTCCCCACAGCTTCATCTGTCTCTGGTGGGTGTCCTGCCTGCCTGTGATGAGCGTGAAGCCCTGCTTGGGTGGCTGCACTGAAATCCTTTGGAGCGCAGGCACGTGGCAGCGCTGTGAGAATCGCTTGGGATTTCTGCCTTTCACCCTCTTCTTGTGTTTTGCAGAAGCAGTGCTCTCGTGCCCTGAGCCTCTGTCCTTCACTGGCAATGTGGCAACAAGGGTGGGGCAGTGCTGGGCTTCAGGCCAGAATTGCTCTTGGCTCTTCTTACCTAGCGTGATGGAGAGACTGCAACGTGAAGCTTGGCAGCAGGAGCAGTTGGAGAGGGGAATGGCCATGGTTTCCTCCTGCTCAGTTCGCTTAGGTCTGTCCCACCCAGTTCTGTGGAGCAGCGACCCCTGCAAGGTGCTCGTTTCACCCTGAGACTTGTCCAGGTTAAGTGCTGGAAACGTGTAACTTGCCGGCATGTGCTAATTGCCTGCCTGTGCGATAGCACAGTGTGTGTGAGGGATTCAAGGGAAGGATTCCCAAAGCAGCATTTCTGCCAACTCCCTTTCTTGAACTGAAAGAGAAACCTGAGCTGCTGCTGCAGGTGCCAGAAGACGCAGTTTATGCTCAGGGATTTGTGGATTTCTTTGTTGGAGCTCTTGGCTTCACCTTCGCCTTTGTGTCTGTTCCTCCATGTGCTGCACTGCCAAGGGACCTCGAAGACAGTCCTATCTCAGCCTTTCAGAGCACAAAGGAGAAGGCAAAGTGAATAGATCTGGGGGTAAAGACTTGACCCTTATTGTATATCAGCTTGCTCACACGCTCTCATTAAGCAAATGTCAAACTGAGGTTAAACATAAAAAACCCCAAGGAGGTCGCAGAGTCCTGAATAAGCAAGCAAACCACAGAGCTGCTCAGAAAGGATGCCCTAGCCAGAGCTCTTCTGGCATTTCTGTTCAGGAGATGGAGGCTGCTGCTCTGAAAGCACTTGGGTGTTTTCCACTGCAGATAAGTGGTTTCTGTTTTCCCTTCTACCAACTCCCTGTCTGGGGCGTGTTTTGCTTCCTGTACTCTGCAGTTGATCAGCTTAGCTTTGTTTTGCATATTTAATGTTTATTCACACTGAGATTTTTCTATAATGCAGCATTATATGAATTCTGGCCCAGAGAATGTGACCATTTAGAAGGCGCAAAACCAAACATTAGCTGGAAATTCATTGTTGCGTGGGGTCGCTCAGTTCATGAACATCATAAAAGTAAGCAAAATAATACATCTAAGAGACTGTAGATAGCGGGAACGTGTGTGGTCACGGAACAGTAAGAGGCAATGAATATTGTGTGTTAGAGTTCAGGCTGATCTCTGAGGTATTAGGAAGAAATTCAGTCCGGTGTAAAGCTACTCCCTATCTGCTCTCTGCAGAGTTGCAGTCTATCTGTGGTGGCAGCTGTTGGCAGCTACTGCCGGGCATGGGGCACATCTGGCCACCTCTCTGGGTTCTTGTGCTTCAGGAGTCATCTATTTACTTGAAGCTACAAGACTAGTCTTAAAATAAGTAGCACACAGTGCTGTGGCTGGGATTCAAAGCTTATTTTCCTTAACTTCCAAAAAATGGCAGGGAAGTGGTATCTCTCCAGCCACCACTGTGTCTGTCCTCATACTTTCTCTGTGTGACTTCAGTGCTCTCACAGTGCAGATGGAGTTTTATCCTAAAGGAGTTAAGATGCCAAGTTAGTCTCAGCCCATGGTTTTGTTACAGCATTTTCAAAGTGGAGCACTCAGGTTTTGCCTGGTTTCAGCTTGCATTGGCTTAAAAAAGGAAACGAAGCAATTTTTGATGGATCAGAAACAACATTACATTTTATTTGCAGCTTTGCCACCAGCTGAAAACTGGTTTTATGTGTTCATTTGTTTTTTCGACAGCTAAGGCCAGTTCTGGGAGATACAGTTACATTGGTAGATTCATGCTTTACAGCTTATTATGGAATGCAGATACACAAAATTCATTTGTTCATTAGCAGTGTGTGGAGTCCCTGGTGATGAAGCTTATGTACCCTTAAGGGTTCACAGGTGACAGGCTGAAGATGAGTGTGCTAAGGATATCTCTGTCCTCTGGGCATCAGTACTCAGCGAGTTCCTGAACTCAGGTGACAATTTTCACTCCTGGTGGACTCTCTGATGAGTCTTCTCTTCTGGTTGGCACCAGTAAGGGGTGCTCTGCTGCGCCTCATGAGGGTCACCTCCTTCCTTGGCATGAGATTACTCCTCACCTGGCACAATTACCTGTCTTCTTCTCAAAGCCCTTCCACTGCAGGCACGCAGAGCTGTGCAGTTCATGACAGCGTCTCGGTCCCAGGTGTGCCTGCAATAGTGTTAGCCCCCGTGCATATGCATAAAGTCCTTGCCCACAAACTGCTTTTTTGTTCCTTAGGGGAACATTTCTGCTATTAAGTCAGCACATTGCAGTGGCAAGCCCTCTGAAAAGAGCCTTTGTTACTGTTCTTGGTGTTCCTGAGTTTCTCTATGCAAGAGTGGCTGCAGTTTACTCCATTCTGTGAGGCCGTGGCACTCTGTGGCACAGCAGGGTGAGGTGACAGCGGAGGAATTCAGGCTGCAGCTTTGATGAGAGTCTTGTAAAATCTGCTACTCACACGAGTGTCTTGGGGCTTCTCCTTTTCTTCCTTATGCATGCAAATGAGTTGTTTACCCTTGCAATTTAAAGGGAAGCTACTAGTTGTGAAGCGCTTCCAGCAGTTCCCCAACATGAATAGTGGTGGGAGTTTTCAAACAACACTTCCGTTCAGTCTTGTGTTTATCCCATATGCATTCCTAGCAGCCTCTGACTGAGCCTTATAGGTAAAAAAGGCATCAAGGATGGCTAAAATGGACATCATTTTCTGGAGGCAGCGCAATATCCCCTTGCTTGCTGGCTGCTCTACCCACACCAGGTCTGGGCAGCGCCTGTGGCTCTCAGTCGCTCATCCTTCTGCAGCAAGTGTGTCTATCCGCCCCCCTTTTCTTCTCTCCCCAATGGCAGGAACAGTCTGGCTCTCACCACACCCCAGGCTGCTCTTCTTTAAGGTACAAAAGCTGGTGTGCCCTATGTTGCTGAGATGGCAAGATCCAGAGGTGATTGTGATGCCTCAGTTGGTTCAAGTTAATCCTTTTTTTTGCTCCCCCACATAAAACAGGTTGTGCATTCGCTTAACAACCGTTGTTTCTGTGCCTCAGGGAACTTCTGGATCTGACTTGCCGTCTTGCCAACACCCTGAAGAAATATGGGATACAGAAAGGAGACAAGGTGGCCATCTACATGTCCGTGTCTCCCTTGTCTGTGGCAGCCATGCTGGCTTGCGCCAGGATTGGTGCCGTTCACACCGTGGTCTTTGCTGGATTCAGCGCAGAGTCCTTAGCTGGGAGGATCATGGACTGTAAGTAGATGCAGACCAGGGAACAAACCCCTTTGGACAGTCCTCTAAGACATATCCCCATTCTGTGTTTTCTCAGCAGAAAGAGAAAACGTCTCTTTTCAGCTGGTGTGACAGTTCATTCCCCTTTGCAAACTACTGTGAACAGCCTTTTGGTTAGTGGCAGATGCAGTATCCTCTGGCCTTAAAATACTTAATAAATTGCTTAACATTCAGTCTACGCTAGGTTACTGCCAGACAGCAGTGAAGCTGGAGGGAAAACCAGAGCTCAGGAATGGGGCCTGATTTGTTCTTTTGCAGAATAATTGCAGTGTTTCTTTGATACTCCTGCACAGTGCTGATTTCACAGTCTTGATTATGACAGTGTGATTTATGTATAGCACTGGAAGTGTTGATAGCCTGCCCCCACTCTGTTAGCCGTTGTACCAACAGACAGAGCTGTTCTTAGCCCAAAGCACTTGTAGTGTGTTAAGGTAAAAAGCAGTGATAAAAATACCGGCCAGAGAATAAAACAGCAAGTGGCTCATGTCCTAGCAGTCATGTCTGTTTCTTTATGGGTAGTGTGATGGAATAAATCTTAAAGCAGTTTTCAGGCTTTTTTTTTCTGTTTTAGTAGAGTTCATCTATAGAAAGCAAGCGTGCGTTTTAGCTGTCCCTCACTTTTGACTACTTGTGTGGAGGCGATGGGCTAAAGAGCCGTTTCTCTGCAGCCAGAGCTCTGTAATAACATCATGTGGTACAGTTTGAAGTGCTCTGCCAGAATGCTGCTCTGTGCTGTGGCCTTCCAGGAGGCTTCCCCGCAAGGTACACATGAGTGTCAGAAGGCTGCAGGTATCTTCAGAGTAGGGTAATGCATCCAAGAAGCTGCTGAGTTTGATGCTGTTTGCAACAGATGCTTATATGACACTTACATGCAGCCCCAGAGAGAGGATGAGAGGGGCAAAGGTTCATTAAGGTTGTAGGAAGTCTTGCACTGGTTTCAGTGCCTGAGCTGTTCGGCTAGAGCGGCAGCATTCGCTGTAACAGAGGTCACTGGGAGGAAACTATTCTGCATGTCAGCTTTACTGGGCAGGAATGGAGGCATTTAAACTGCAGTTTAGCTGGTTTAGCTGGAGTCGACCCTGCCTTGGGGTAGGGGGGATGGACTAGTTAACCTGTGGAAATTCCAGCCACCCCTAATCTCTGTGGGTCTCAGGTTTTAAAGTGTGTTCATCAGTGACGCTATTTTTGATTGGCAGAAGTTCTGAGTATTTGTCACACATGGTGTCGTATACATCGTGCCCAAAATTAATGAAAGCAGGGTGCACATACTAGCCTGGAAGACAGACTGGTATGTCTGCTAATTCTTTCTCTTTTTAGCTGAATGCAAAGCAGTTATCACCTACAACCAGGGAGTCAGGGCAGGCCGAGTCATAGAGCTGAAGATGACTGTGGATGAAGCTGTGAAGAACTGTCCAAGCATCAAACACGTCTTCGTGGCTCAGAGGACAGATAACAAAGTCCAGATGGGTGACCGTGATATTCCCCTTGAGGAGGTATGTTAGTGTTGGTAAACCTTGCCTGTGGTTCTTGAAGTATGTAGCGTTTACTGTGCTGGGGGAGAGAAATGTGGTGCACTAACACGTGTTACCAGCTAACAGAGACGTCTCTGAGAGACCCGATGCAGGGCTGTTCATGCTGTGTGTGATGACTGGCCTTTATGCTGCCTCTAGAGTAGGTTTTGGTGTGTGCTGCTCTTCCCGTGCTGCCACAGTACCCAGTGGGCTGATGGATATAGCTATGTTGCAGTGACAGCATCTGTAGGTCCCTGCAGTCACCTAGCTCTGCAGACCCCACTGTCACTCTGCATAACTCCCTTTAGATTTGTTGGCCAAATCATTGTTCTCTCCATCTGTGTCTTTTGGACATCAGTTCTGCAGATGAAAAGGAAATGCCCCTTATGGCATCTGTGTCTTCATCCTCAAACGGATTGCGTGTACTTACAGTCTGCTGGGATTGTGAGTCGAAGCAGCTCAGTCTGTCTGATTCATCTCAGCACGGGCACGGGCTATGCTGCTCCATTTTAGTTGTCTTGCAAACAGTGCTGAGATTTAAGGACTCAGTGTTTCCTGAGATCCAAAGTGCGCTGATACCACTGCTGCTGCTGTAACGCTGGGTTCGGACACTCCCTTATGGTTTGCCATCTGCACTCTCAGACCAGACACTGTTGTACAGAAATAACCAAGTTCCTAGGGAGGCTTAGTGTAGCCTACGGACAGGGTCATGGTTACCTCATAACGGGGGGCGCAGCAATGGCTTGGAATATTTAGAACCTGTGCTTCTTGGGGAAGAAAACAGCTGTCATTTTAATGTGTTTTGCTGGGACACATGGAACTGCAGCATTAAGCAGAAGTAGTTTTATCAGTTTGCTGGCAGCTGGAAACAGAAACTACCCATTGTAATAATGCGTGGAAATCATCCATCTGCAGCCAAGATAATTACTCAGGAGGCCCTGTGCTGGTCGCATGAGATAGGAGCAACTACTGGGGTAAGTTAAACAGAGAAGGCACGTTTTATTTAGAAATTGTCTTACTCCTTCTTACTCCCCAAAGCCCCTTCTGATGGTTTTTTCCTTAGTCTGCAAAAAGCCTGAGGTGCTTTGGTGATCCAAAAGCTTGAGCTCAGCCTGTTGTCAGCTGTAGGGTCTGAAACATAAGAAGAATTAAACCATTAATGCTCTTAACTCTGTCATTACTGATTTTTACAGTAGTTGTGCTTTCCAGCTCTTGTGCAGTGGCTTACTGCAAAATTCAAGCTCATGTTGTAATGGAGCATATGAGAACTCTATCTTAGTTTCAAAAACTGGTAAGTTGGCCTGAATTGGCAGCACTGAAAATATACAATAAACACCTGGGATGAGCAGGAGCAGGAGTGCTGTAACTGAGAGGCTAAGAATTAACGTCTGACTGTATCAACTCTTCCTATTTTATTAAGCGTTGTTTATCAGACACTTTTAAACAACTGGGCCTTAAGTTGGTAGTGTTCAGTTATAAAAACAACATGTTTACAGTATATACTTGTAAAAAGGCAGTACTAGAAATTCCTTCAAAGAGCCACCTAATAACCCTTGCAAGAGTCATTATTCATCTAGGACAGTACAGAGCTTGAGAGAAGCAAGCCAGCTGTGCTTTTTTTACAGCCGTATGTTGAGCATCTGGAACAGACAGTGATTATTGCAAGTTTGTACATGGATAAGAAAAATGTTCAACCTCGTCATGGAAAATCTGCAGTCTGGGCAGACAAGCTCTCTGCTCTTACAAGGTTCAGTGATGACAAACATCTCTTTCAAAGCACATTATTTCTCCTTACTCTGCTGGACTGGGCGCACAAGTGGGACCAGAAGTTTGTTCTGACCTGGCAGAACATTATGTCCTTCTCTCCTGTGGTTCTGACCATAGGGGTGAGGAGATGATCTCACCCACTTGGTCAAACGGTGGAGTATGAGGAGAGTGGCAGAGGCAGGAGAGTAAAGCAGTCATCTTCCTCAGGGGTAGAAGCAGTTAGAATTTGAGGATCAAATGGACAGGACAGTCATCTGCTGCTGGGGCCAGGAAGAGGAGATGAATGCACAGTTTAACTGTAGTACTGCCGTTTTGCAAGGAAAAGGAAGGTCTTAAAGAGTATCCAGTCAGCCTTCCTGCTGCTGTCAAGTGTGGTTCGTGTTTGCAGTCACACTTCGGTTTTCTACCAGCAGCTTGCAAAGGCTTGAGTTGTGAGCTATGGCCTACCATTATTTTCCTGAAATGTTATTTTATATGGCCAATTCCTCTTGAACTCTGCACCTAGCAGAGGCATCAGTGGAAAGGCTAGGTGATAATATGTTCACAGGAACCTTTCCACAGAGTCAGCACATATGACCTATGATACATCCATGGATATTTTTGAGGGGCAACATCAATGGAGGTTCTCATCTCTGGACACTGCTGACATGCTTATAGATAGAGCACTGGTTGGCTCCATGGGGTCAAACTCTTTCTATTATTATCACCTTCTTTTTCCTAGGAGATGGCCAAGGCAGCTTCTGTATGCACTCCAGAGAGCATGGAGAGTGAAGACGTGCTTTTCATGCTGTATACCTCGGGCAGCACAGGGAAGCCCAAAGGAATCGTTCACACCCAGGCTGGATACCTGCTGTACGCTGCTCTCACGCACAAGGTAACTCAGCTGCATCCTCTGGAAAAGGTTCATTGACCTTCCAGCAGCACTAACGAAAGGGTCTGGTCAGGTGCGCTCTATTCTCCCTTCACTGCCCAATTGGCTTATCGGGTGTAAACAAACTGAAAATGTGTAATTAATCTTCAGGATTTGCTCCTGGGGAATATACTACTGTGCAAACGAGAGCCTAGACTTAGGAAAGGAAGGAAACTGCAGTGCTGCTACAGTTTCAGTGAAGAATTTGCAGACATTAAAGTGATGCAGCTGAGTAGATTCTGGTATCTTACTGGCCTTGGTGACATGGGTATTACTGTAGTGTTTTGCAGTGGGATGCTGACTTGTTAAAACAACATGGCACTTACGTGAAGATCAAAAATTACATTCATGCTCTGGTTGCACCTTTACTCTGCTTTTCTACGTGATCTATTCTAAATGTTTTAACCCTCTTTTTCATGAAACAAAAAAAAAAAAGTGAAGGCTCTGTTTCTTGAAGCTTGTGGTCTGAACTCTGCATCTGAAGAGGTAACAGTGAAATGCAGAGAGGAGTGCGGTGAGAGACCTCCATCTGTCTTTAGTAGTATCACCCAGTTTAGTCACACACAGTTCAGGCAGAGGTTTTCTTTAGCCTGACAGTGTTGAATTTTCAGAAAATTTCAACATGCAAGTATCAGACTTCTCTACATGAAGGATATTTGTTATGTTAGCTTTTCTAAGTGACGGTGTAATCTCCAAGATATGTCTGTCTTAGTCCAGAAGGGAGATCCTGCACCCTGGTGCAGACATGTGGGGAAGCACCGTATGCAGCTGTGGTTCCTTTAGAGGTATGTCAGAGACTGAGAGGGAAAGGCATTTGCAAAAATAAGGTGAGAATTGGCTCTCCTAGATAGAGGGATCCGTGTGGCGTCTGTGGTCTTTGCACTTCTCACATATGGGGTTTTCTTTTAGTACTGATGCGCTTTCTTTCATTTAAATCATAAAGCTGACTCTGCCTTATGAGTCTGGACCTCTTCACCATATGGTAGAGGAGTTATATTTATAGTGGGAAGCATTTTCCATAACCAGGACAAGATAATGAGTTCTCCAAGGTCTTTAACTTGAATGCAATGAGAAGGTAGAGGGTAGCATCTGGAAAGCAATACACTGATAGAGAAGCTGAGCAGCTAAGAATATTTTGCAGAAAACGTTTCACGGGCACCTATCAGCATCTCCAGCTTTCTCATGGAAACCAGTTGATATTGTTGAGGGGTCTGAGCCTCCAAGGCCTGTGGCTTCCCTGCAGTTCAAGGTCATCTCTTCAACGTGGACTGCCTGGAGTAGGCACCCTTAGGTTTCCAGGGCTCTGGGCTTTGGTTGTAGCTTTGTTGCTCCAATCTGAGCAGCTGCTGGTATGGCCGTTCAAACTGATGTTTGCAAAAACTGATCGGGAGCCTGGAAGTCCTGGTACTGGTCCCTCTGACTTGCTTGCTCTCTCCTTGGGCTGGCCTTTGTGCTGCTGCGTCCTTCGTGCCTGGCTCCTCCTGCCCTGTGCGCTCTCTTGCTCCCACTTGGGAGCACCTTGCCTTTAAGCTCTTTGCGCCTGCCATGGGGAAGTCAGCTGGCCTTACATTTATCTTTGCAGTATGTATTTGACTACCAGCAAGGCGATGTTTTTGGCTGTGTGGCTGACATTGGCTGGATCACGGGACATAGCTATGTTGTGTATGGACCACTCTGCAATGGAGCCACCTCTGTCCTGTTTGAAAGCACTCCTGTGTACCCTGACCCAGGTGAGGAAGTGGTGGGCAAAGGTTTGGCTAGAAATGACTGTGGCAGAGGAGACTTAGAAACCTGTCCAGTGTGACCTGCCTGCTCAGGGGAGGTAAGCTCTGTTTCTTTGGAACACGTGTCTGCAACATTCAGAAACATCCAGGGTGCAAAAAACCCAAAACTTGTCACTGGTTTTGCTCTGTACTCACAGTAGTCACAGCTTTAGCTTAGGCTGTTAACTTCCCTGCTGAGCATTTATAGCAGTATACCTGCACCGGACAGATGAAAAGCCTGTTTGTGATTTTGCAGGTCGTTACTGGGAAGTGGTACAAAGGTTGAAAATTAATCAGTTTTATGGAGCACCTACAGCTATACGCTTGCTGCTGAATTATGGAGAAGAGTGGGTGAAGAAATACGACAGATCTTCCTTGAAGACCTTGGGATCAGGTGAAGGGCATGACATCTTCACCTGAAAAAAGACATGGGGTTCTAGCTGGTGAAATGAAGGAGCTTGGCGGATGGGATGGGGTTAAAAAAAGATAATAAAGCAGGCTCTCTGCCTTGCTTTTCAGATAGTTTCTCTGCAGAAGGAGAAACAAGCAAGTTGAGAGCACTGAACCTAAGTGTGGTTGCCTGTTTCCTAGCTTATTTTGCAGGATCACATACTTTGCTAAAACGATCTATCCAGCGGTAAATGAACATCACTTTGAATTTTACTGGCATAAGTGACCAACGCAGCATTTTCCTGCATTATTTAGCATTCTAGAGCTTCTTATACATGATCTGCATTGATTAGTTACTTTCAGTGATACTTACTGCTTGCCTTTTGATGTTGCTGGAAGAAGTCAGGCCTCAGTTACTTGAGTGCATTGCAGTCCTTTGCACATCCCAGTGAAAATGCTGTAAGCATTTTGCTTAAAGATCGTGCATTCAGCATGTTGTGCACCAAAAGGGAGCGTGAACTGCCTGCAGCCCCCTGAACCTCACTCAGATTGCTTCCTTTCTTATTTGGGTCTAGTGGGAGAGCCCATCAACAGTGAAGCTTGGCAGTGGTTCTACCATGTGGTGGGAGAAGGACGCTGCACCCTCCTGGATACGTGGTGGCAGACAGGTAAGAGGCATCCTTGGAGAATGTGGAAGGCCCTGACTGTGCACAGGTTGCTAGTGAATAGAGAAGGATGGATACATTTCAATTTGACCCAACAAGTCACTAAAAAAAACCCAGACACCTGGCATTTTGATCGGCTTTTGAAAATCACTGGGGAGTGTCAGCATGTAACAGCAGTGTAACAGTATATAAAAGCAAGAGCAATGTTGTTTGCTATTTTTCTTTTCCCCTCTAAATGTTCTTTGATATTTTGAATGCCCCAAGATCTCAACGGATTCTAGCAACAGGAGGCGGAGACTGAATTTCTGAGCAAAGCTGGGAGTAGGCAGCTTGAATTGGAAACCTCCTTTTCAATTATTTATCTACCTGTAGTGACCTTGATAGGGTCTTATCACAAAAAGGCATTTATAGCACCATATAGCCACAATCTGTACTTAGGCGTGCTTTGTTTCCCTTCCTGGGAACGGTTAGAGGAGAATGGAAAACTAAGCTGTGTAGTCCAGGGGACCGAGTGCAGCCGCTTGGGCAGGTTGGGTAGGAGTGAACGGAATCTTGCTGGCTGTGCACCTGGTGGGTAGGGGACTGTGGCTGTCACCCAGCAGGTGACACAGAGCAGCTTCTCCCAGGAATGAAGTAGTATGCTGTAGTTGCTTTACCCCTGGACCTTCGATGCCTCAAAAAGGAGCGTGTTTCTGTTATGGCAACATGCTTGGCCCAGCTGTGTGCATCCATTAAAGCTTGTTTTCCATTTACAACCCGGTGGATGGAGTGACTCATTCTCAAAGATCTCTGCTGGGCTGGATCAGAGCTGGTCCCTGCCTCGTGCCTTCCCTGGCTGGCAGCAGAGAGCGGCCACAGTGTTCCACTCCGGCTGGGGCTGCGCTCCCTGGTGGAGCCCTGCACTTGAAGAAGTCCTGCAGCTCCTTCCCAGCTCGCCACCCCACCCCTTCCTATCTTCTGGGCACCAACATTCAAGAGTTGCTAAAGGTGTCTTGCAATGTGCCCTTCTCAAGTTGTGAACCACAGTTTATCATGGGGCCATAGACTTAAAGGATGCAGCACAGCTGCTGAAAAAAACCCCATCCCTACTTTTAAATTTCTAGCTGCCATTGGGCAGAATATTCATTCCCTTTCCAGTCAAGCTGTTCCTGATTTCATCCTTATTCCTGCTAGCAGGCACTCTCTTTAGGATCCCTATGGCCCATCTGAGCGTGATGAATTAGCTTCTGGCACACAATCAAGTTCCATTCAATCCAGACCAGACTTACAGACTCTCTTTATTTTCAGATTTGAGATAAAACAGCCTCAGGATTCAGAGCAGCAATGTTAACTACTATCTACTTCAACTACTGATCTCTTAAATCATCTGGTTTCTCACATGCTGAGCAGAAGGAAAGCTGACTGGCTAGGTGCTATATGCTTTCCTCCTCACTGCTCTAAGATAAAACATTGTGGAGAAGCAGGTGATTACTCTAGGCTTACAGAGTTGAGAAGAATATTTTTGCCCTAACATTTTTTCATTTGTCTTCAATTAACTAGTGCATGCCTTGTGCCTGCAGTGTCTTCTGTTTCCTCCAAAGTACAGGGTTAGATCTTACATTAAACTGTATTTCTTCTGGTTTTTTGAGGCAACAGCTGTCAGCTGAGAGGTTAAAGAACATTTGCTGGACAGTCTGTAGGTGCAGAGAGCTTGATCTTACCTTGAACCAGGCACAGTGATGCTGGTAAACAGTTAACCAGCTCCTGGAAGCGTTATATAATGATAAATATTCATGAAATTGATTTTGTTAGAAAGTAGAATTAATCTTCCTCAACAGTCCATGCTTCCCGTAAAGAGGAAGCCAAATTAATCTTGGAAACATTATATGCACCATTTGAATGTGAAGGAAGTGTGGAAAGAGATTACGGAAACACTTTGATGGATGTCGGTTGTGGTCCGGCTGTGTTGCTTCTCATATAAAATTTCAATATAGCTTGTTACTTGTGCTGTTGTATGCAATGTCCTCTACGGTGTGTTGCTCTCTGATCAGGAACGTGTTGCCAGTTAATAAAACCTGGTAGGCGTAAAGATCAGCAAATGGTGATTTAAGAATCCACTTGAAAGTCTTTGGATGTGCAAATGAGTGAGACAGCAATTATGGAAAGCAATTTAAGTAGTGTGGTATGTGTAGATGAGAGACATGAAAATTTCCTATGGCTCTTAATGTTAAAATATGAGGTAGTGCTGTGCTGTGATTGACAGTACTAGAATCAAAGCTGTGTGTGAGTGTCAGGTGCAGTTCTTCACAGTGCAGGTGAAGAACTAGGTGTTTTTACTTTAGTTGTTGGCTTTATGAAAAAACTACAGCTGTTGCATGCAGCCATGAACAAAAGTTGGTTTTGAAAGGCATCTCTGAATAGGCCCTGGAGGCTTTTGCTGTTGGCATCATCTTTCAGTGATTCAGACTGGGCTGGTGCTTCTGAGATGGGTTCTCATTCTCCCTGAGGCAGGCAGTCTGATCTATCCGTGGTGGTGAAGACAACGGTGGCAGAGAGCACTTGTTCCACCCTGCTTCCAGAGGTGATTTATCCACGGCAGAGGAGAGCCTGTTTCGATACATCACCCTCCGTGCTCAGATTCTGCTGTCCCTACTTGGAGTCGAGGTGGATTTGCACTACGGTGACAGCATGGGCACAGGTGACATGGACGCACAGCTTTTCTTCTGCCGGTGTTGCCTCTAAAGAGATAGAATTCATAAGGGCAGGGCAGTGCCTAAAAGCTTTGCTGGCTGTTATCTGCCAGTGGCTAAAATTGCTGCTTTTAAACTGGTTTAAAATAGGTCTTTGCCATGCAAATAATTTTTAAAGCACCATTGCCACCATGCAGCTCCAACTGAAATGTAACTTTAGTGCCTTATATGCAGCTGGCTGCAGGATGTGTAGGATGTGGCAAAACCCGCGTTGAAACATAGCTTGGAGTGCTGTGTTCAGAATGAGAACTGGCTTAGGAAGAGCAACCATCAGCTTAGTAAGGTTCCCTGCTCTGACACAGGTTTCGTTTGTGCAAACAGAGCAGCAGGTGTGTGTTGTACCTTTTTATTTTTTTTGTAAAATACAAGATGACCCTTTCAAAATAAACAGAAACATGTGAAGTCAATATGAACGTGAAATAATTTTATGGGTAAGCCACATGTGAAACTATTTTCTGCAGTTCTGAAGCTCAGGGCTCCTCAAAGAGATCCTTTCTCGTAGCTACGTCAGGGCAGCTGGATGCAAATTTGGGTCAAATTTGCCCTTTCCAATCCCTGGTTTCAGTTTTCACAACCTCAGCAAAACTGGTAAAGGAATCAAGTGGCCTAACTGACCTTTACGTATAGAGTTCTGCTTTTAAAAGCTTAATGCTCCTTTGTTTTTGTTTCTCTCATGTTTCTGAATTAGAATAGAAAAGATCTGACTAGGGCTGGAATCTGATCTAATGTTCATCTGAGCAGAAATGAAAAAGGATGATTAAAAGGCTCAATTTTGATTAGAAGATAAGCTTAACCTGCCTGTAAGGGGTGGGTTAATCTAATACTCTGTCGTAATAGTAATTCAAGCTCCTGAAGTGCTTTTCATGATAACCTTAGCTGTAAAAACAGCACCAGGAGATAAATCCCCTGACATGCTTATACGTTCCCTGTAAAATCCCTGTTCTGGGGTAGGGAATTGGGGCAGGTGAGTACAGCCCCCAACCCCAGGCAGCGCTGTTAGTGTGAGAAGGACCTGCAAGGGTGTAAGTATACGTTAGAGCTGCCCGTATGCTTTGCTGGTTGGTGGCTGGAGGCATGCCTTTGTCTGTGAGCTGACTGAGGTCCAGACGCAGGGAACAGAGCACGTGGGCTGAATCAATGGGGTCTTCGTGGTGGCCAGTTGATTTGCCACGGACGGGACTGTGGGAAAGCTGCTGAACGCGCACGTCGCAGCTGCTGCTGCAGGGTCCGCAGGCCGGCTGGTGCGAAGCCAGATGCTGCAGACCTGCGTGCTGCTCTCCTCTGAGCCTTTGAGGAGCTAAGCTGGGCATCGGCGATTGTGATGCTCTGGGGCATGGCGAGCTGCTCTTCCTCTGAGGCAGCTGCTTGGCCTCTCTCCGTGGTTTGTCACCAGTGTGCACAGGGGACGAACAGAGTAGGAGTAGCTCTTGATCGGAGCTCACCAAGGGGTGATGTGCCTGCAGCACTCTGCTCTCTACCTGCTGCTGTGTCCCCTGTAGACAGAACAGGCCTTGGTGGTGTCATCCTGGCTTGCCAGACATTTTGCTTTGTTTAAGTACTTCTTGTATTCACGAAGAGCTTTTGGTTTATCAAGTCTGTGCTTCTTTCATATGGCTGGGCTACTTGCTGCTGTGTAATTCCTTTCCAGAAGCCTTTTTTTTGCAAGGTAGCTTTGCTATTCTCTTCTTTAACTAAGAAGAGATAGCATTTGCTTTCATCCAGCATTGGATGGACTCTACATATCTTGTTTTTCTTCCAGAAACTGGTGGCATCTGCATTGCTCCACGGCCTTCGGAAGAGAAAGCTGAGATCCTTCCAGCTATGGCTATGAGACCTTTCTTTGGGATTGTGCCTGTGCTGATGGATGAGAATGTAAGTTGAGACTGTGCTGTGTGCCCAAAAGAAAAGCTGGTGTGAATTCTGCCTTAATCACCCTTCTCATGGCAGAGGAACAGGATCCGGAAGGATGTTTGTTCCTCCACTAAAGTGGCAGAATAGATGAGCATATTCAGCATATCTCAGGTGTCAATACAGATTGCCAACTGGGCATTACAAGCTCTCTGCCAATCTCTAGAGGGGTGTTTGCATTTTCAGCACCCCTTACACTGCTTCTGATTAAGAGCTGCTGTCTCCACTTATGAGAGAAGTCAGAAGTCACACAATCCTGGGAGTCCACACCAGTCTTGGGAGCCAGGGACTGGTGGAATTTTCCAAGGGAAATGCAAGACATGAGGCTCTGCAACTGTATGTGTCTGTGAGAAAACCGGTGCTGGTCTGTGAAGCTGTATGGAGCGATGTCCATCTCTGCTCCAGTGCTCTGTTAAAACAGTAAAGCACATGATCTCCTCCAAAGACAGTTTGGTAAGAGAACATGGCTATTAGCAAAAATGAAAGTACAAGGCAAGGGTCCCGGTATTTCCCTGCTAGCCTCATCCCAGGCATCCTCTGTCTACTTGGCAGATCTTTGCTGTCGTCTTTGCTAGCATTGACCTCTGGAGAATCACTTTCTGCTGTGCTGCTGGCCTCAAGGGGTGAGGAAGGTAAAACACAGTGTGTAGTATCTCCATGAGTGGATTCATTTTCTCCACCTGCGGCCCTCCCTTGGCAGTCTGTAATGAGCAACAGGGTGACTCTCACCAGATCAGTGATGCACAAGCCCTTTACAATTCCTATATTGTTCACCTGATCATCTGTCCTGTGCTTCAACCTGCAGGGAAACGTTATAGAGGGCAATGATGTGTCTGGTGCGCTCTGCATTGCCCAGCCGTGGCCTGGCATGGCAAGAACAATCTATGGAGATCACCAGCGATTTGTTGATGCCTATTTCAAAGTCTACCCTGGTAAGGAAAATGGAAAGGCAAGGAAGTTTTCCTGGCAGTATAAGTACCCTGAATATTTTCAGCAGCACTTTGTGATACTTTTGTGCCAGCTAGATATTGGTTGCTTGGGGAATTGTGCGTCAGGTGTTGCAAGCAGGCACTGATGGTCTTAGACAGTGTTGACCTTTCTAGCTGTCGAAAGGGAATGTACTTTTTAGTAGATTTTAATGCCCAAATTTTAAAGTGCACATACCTTTTCCTTGGCGCCACTTGCGTCTCACTTGGCTACTGGATGGGAAGGTACCTCCTGTATCACTGAATTTCACCCCTGCTGTCAACAGGCTGTGTTACATCCTTCCTTTTTGAAATATGGTGAAGCTGAATCTGGTAAGTTATTAGAAGTGTCAGGGAATCATTTTTGTAGGCAATTGGTTGAGACCACTGTCTTCACTCAGGGAAGCAACTGAAGGGGATTTGAAAGCTACAAGGCAGGTAAGAATTAGAGAGACAGTCTTGCAAATTCTACAAAATGGGTTGGAAAATAAGAATGGGAAACTGGTGGAAGTCCGTTATTACTCACTGCCTGTTTGCATATGAGGTCTTGTTGATATTTAGTTAATAGTTGTTTAATTGGTTTGGAAGGGCAGAAGGCGTGACTGAATGTCCATGAATTGGCCAATAGTGGGCCCTGGTAAGACCTTTCTTCAGATTTCCCAGCACTAGCTGCCTGCCACAGGAACAATTCAGATGAATTTACATGGCTTTGATGAAGAGCCAACACAATCTGTATCACCAGATATGTCCTCAGTGTCATTGGAGTTTCCTGGAACCACTGGGTCTTTTTCAGTTTCCAGCAAGTGTTTTAGACCCCTAAACACCGTGCTTATCATGTAGGGTTTTTTTCCAGCTAATCTGATAGCAGTGTTTCTGCCATACTTATACACTGGAGAGGGACTGTTATCTGGGAATTTTTGTTAGCCAGGAGGGAAAATGGCTTTTCATCTGTTCCAGTGCAAGCGATGGAAAAAATACCCCGGCAGTGTTGCCACGGACAAAATGTAATAGAACTGCTCCCTTTCAGCCGAACAGTTGTAGTGTTCCACGAGCACTGAGGTGTAGCTAGCAGCAGGCCTGAGTTTGACCAGTAGCCTGCCGTAGGATGCCAAATGTCATTTGAGGTGGTTTTATCTTAGTGCTATATGCACCAAGCCTGAGCACACAGTTGCTGTGCGGCTGTAGGTAGGTAAAGCTAGGGAGATTAGAGTGTCCTCCTTGGTTTTTTAAAGCCCACAAAGCATCCCTGTTTGTTGCTGGACTTAGTTCTGCTACAGGGAGGTCAGCCACTGGTCGCTGCTGATTGCCTACAGGGATTTTGCCCATCTTGGCAGAGATCTGAACTCCACTGTCTCGGTGTTGCTCAGGTGCTTGCTAGGAGCCAGCACAGCCCAGGGAGAGGTTGGGGATGGCAGAGGGAGGTGAGAAATTGTGTGTGGCAGGTCACGCAGCTTAGGAGGCCCTGTGAGCTGCTTGATCCACCTCCTCTCCACCCTAGAGCATGGCCTGTTCTGTATCAGAGCCCAGAACAACAGGCTGGCAGCTTCCTGCTGCTGACCACCCATGTGTCTCTGCTCTAGGTTACTACTTCACAGGGGATGGTGCTTACAGGACCAAAAAAGGCTATTACCAGATAACGGGGCGCATGGATGATGTCATTAACATCAGTGGACACAGGCTTGGGACGGCAGAGATAGAAGATGCAATGGTAAGTTCCAAGCAGGTGCAGGACCCTTGACAGGGCATATCCGTAGGACAGGCTGGCCCTTTCAAAGAAGCTTTATGAATTTAAATGAGAACGGGCTCTCTTGCCTTTGAACCCCTGCCCCTACATGCACCTAGTGTGGTGCATAATGAATAGCAAATTTGAAAAAGGAGACAGCTCTCTCATTAAGGAGACAACGAATGGGCAAGTGAGAGAGGAGTCACACCATGGGCAGTCCCTGCAGTCGAACCGTCAGGGCTGCATTTCGTCTCAGTGACATTGCATTGCTGCAATTGTAATTTTGGATGCTGGTGGAGTCTCCAAAAGGGATCGTCTCTTCTGTTTGTTCCTTCCCCTCTGCTAACACCTAACCTCTCCTTCCCAAATCTGTGGTTCTTGCTCATCCCAACTAGCTCAGGACACCTGAGAATTCAGCATTATTACAGATGAAGCAACCTTGATTGATGTCAGCTGCAAAACTAGCCTGTCATTTTGAGAGAAAATAGCATTAGCTCAGGGAATTGAAAACAAAAAGTCCTCGGAGCATTTATTTTCAAAGCTTGACCTGAATATTTATTTCTGTATTATGTGCCTTGCCTGCAAATGGCACATAAGTGTGACATTTGGTAAGTCTGAGCTGTGTTCACATGGCACACAAAATCTTATTTTCTCCTCTGTGAGTGATTTTTTTGTTTGTGTGAGTTTCTGACCTTAGATGTAGGATCCAATTGCTCTCCCACTCTCTGTGTATGCACATGCATATGCAAATATATTTATATGCTTGAGTTGCTCTGTGATGTTTTATTTCAGATTTTAATCTAAGACAGCATAATCCAGTCTTTGGTATGGGATTCAGATAAGTGATTCCTTCTGGTATGTACACCCAAATTGTCGTCTTACTGCAGAAGAATGTTAAATTCAGCTGTGGAGTGTGACAGAATAAATCACTGTTGTGTAGCATAGTAATAAAAATATGCATTCAGCAAAACAACCCTTTCCCCCTTCTGGGAAGATGAAGAAGCCTGATTCTTTCTGCCTTCTGGTGTGCTTTGGGCACTTACAAACATCAGTCAAATGTGGATGGTGATGTTGGCAGCTTCACTTCTGCTCTGCTGGAAACAGTTCCCTGTGGCACAGAGCAGTGCAGGACTCGTTTTGCTTGTGATTTGGCCATGGCCAGTCACCACTTGGGACTGTAGCCATGAGAGCTACAAAAGCCACAAGACTGAGCCACAAGAGCAAAGACAAAGAAAGAGAAAGCAAGTTTCCAGCTGGTGCTTGGTGTGCTGTGGGCTTAGCAGTGTATGTAAGAGGACTTACTTGTGTGTTTAGAAGCAAGATCAGTGCAGTGAATAAATGCAGCTCCTGGAGATGTGGCCATGGCCGTGGGCCCCAGCAGACCATGCAGCAGGAAGGTGA